AGTCGAATGCTCATGGCTGCCAGTTCTTACTAGAAGTTGGCTTGTGGAATTAATCTGAAAAAGGATTGAAGGTAACATATTAAGTTCAGATTAATTTAACTGAAACGAAATACGATGCATCTCCCACTATGAGTAGACAATGAGTAAATCTCAAACATATCTTCCTATAATTTAGAGCTAAATTTGGAATCCTTTGACTTCTTGAATGCTTGCATTCCATATTAGACAGGCAATTAGAATTTCAAATTTCGGTTATGGCTGCAGTTATTCTCTTGCACACTTGTGGCCTCGCAGGGGCGGCGGGGTAGCCTCAAGTTAAAGCGTTCGCTTCAATGTATATACATGTATACTGTCACTGATGGGGTCTTAGCATTATAAACGTATATTAACGTATACCTAAGACACTGGGGGCAGTCGGGTAGCCCGGTGGTTCACGCGTTCGCTCGTCATGCCGAAGAGCCGAGTTCGAATCCCAAATGGCTACAACACTGGCCTACTACACTGCGCCGATTGCATGACTGTAGACTTTCAGCAAAATGGCTGGTCGTCCATGTATACGTCGGTCATGCCATTCAAATACTGTAATATTGTTCAAAACGTTTTTGGTGAACTATTTCGTTCCACGAGTTGTACATCCTACTTTTTGTAGATACACATTGCGTGGTCTCTGTCGTTGGTCACATGTTTTTGTGAGAATCCGTCGAACACGAAGTCGCGACCTTCGGATTGTTAGATCGGCATTCTACAAGTTGGTGAGACAATAATCAAGCATACGACTTGTTCAGATAACAACGTGTTTATTGCACAGAGCAATATTTCGGTGTCGAGTCTTAAACCGTTTTCAGGCGAAAACGTTAAAATCTATACCGAAACGTCGCTCTATGCAATAAACAAGAAGTTTTTTCCATAAAGTCGTACGCTTTATTACCTCCACACTGTTATTCAACGTATGAATATATCTAGTCATTCCTTGAGGGTCTCGGAAATGAAGTGAAAGGGTCGATTACAGGGGCGTAGCTACCATTATGAAAAAACCGGGCTTACACATGATTTCTGCTGTTATAGTTGGGCAAGCTCTCAATACTATTGGACCGCCTCCGTGGTGTAGTGGTTAGAGCGTCCGCCCGGAGAGCGGAATACGCGGGTTCAATCCCCGACCGCATCATACCAAAAGACGTTAAAATATGGTACTTGTTGGTCCCTGCCTGGCGCTCGGCATAAAAGGGTTCAACAAGGACTGGTCGGCTCGGAGTCAGTATAATGTGTCTGAGTGGGGTATTCCTGCTTCACTGCGGCATGGTATCTCAGTGAGCTAGCACTATAAAACCAGCTTCAGTCTGGGGTAGTACAAGCAGCCGCACATACACATACACACGCATGCACGTCGTCATATGAGCGAAATATTCTCAAGCACGACGTAAAACCCAATTTCACCTCACGTCACCTCAATACTATTGACATATAAAGCTTTGCAACCTATCGGGCTTACACTACTCGCCTAGATTAGGTCACGAACCACTATGGAGGTTACCGTTAAACATGGTGTTTCGTGATCTTAATCTACGGACAATTTACGAATGATCCCGGTGCCATTTGGCGCACTCGATCCATTCCGTAATCAACAAGATACTTAGATTGAAGATCGAGTGGCTTGGATGAGCCGAGATGGCTGGAACTGAAATTGGCTGAAGACGTCAGGCGTCAGACGTCGAATTCACGGTATGTATGGCTGACAAACTAACTAATTCTCGTCGTTTTCATTAGAGTCAAAAGAACGAACTAATATATTGCACAAGATGTCCCATGCTAGGTCATTCTCATTCCACTGACGTTACTTGCCATATGTTCCTACGTAGGAAGAAATGACAAGTAACCTCTGTGGGAAGAGAATGATGCTAGATGTGACGATGGATATCCGGTGGATGTGTGCAGATTCGATCAATGTACTCAATATAATAATTCCTGTGTAATGATGCAAATTACTGAATAAAGCATCAATATGTTTATTACTTCCCATTTATATTTAAACATTAAACATAAAAAAACTGGCGCTTGCTATAAAATGCGCCGCTGCCGGCTAGCACAAACTCCCAACAGCGCTTATCGCGTACCGAGACAATAGAACACTTAGAGGAGCTTGTGCACCCTCAATAACCCAGTAAGAGTCATGACGTCATAGAGCATTGTCTTTGGTAACAAAGTTTCACAAATTACGTAATGAGGTATTGTGATGTAATTTGTAAAGTTTGTAGTTTGTAGACCGCCATTCCATCAACACAAGAAATGTTTATTACGTAAACAAATGAAATACATGGCATTGGACAATCATCTTCCACTGCATGTACTCTCCTGCCCAGAGTTCCATGCGGCCAGTCAAGTCATCGCTGCACCGGAGTATGGCTGTACGACTCAGTGACGGATATGACGTCAGTCTGTTCTGTGACGTCACTCTTCTGTTCCCGTAGCGCTCACTTCAATGCTGACACCAGTACGGGTGTGACGTGTGTTTTTACAGTGATCAGATTTAACTGCGGTGAGAGGTAAGGAATGGCAAGACCACCATAAAGACGACGACTATGCCGTCCAACACAACTGCCTCACATTGTTCCCTGATAGCGCAGGAGGGGGTACATAGTATAGCTGTATCTGACTTGTTCCTGGTAGCACAGGACTGTATCTGACTTGGGTCAGGACGGGGCACATAGTACAGGATCTGACTTGTTCCTGGTACACATAGTATAGCTGTATCTGACTTGTTCCTGGTACTTCAGGACGGGGTACATAGTACAGCTGTATTTGACTTGTTCCTGGTATAGCACAGGACGGGGTACATAGTATAGCTGTATCTGACTTGTTCCTGGTAGCACAGGACGGGGTACAGGACGGGGTACAGTACAGCTGTATCTGACTTGTTCCTGGTAGCACAGGACGGGGTACATAGTACAGCTGTATCTGACTTGTTCCTGGTAGCACAGGACGGGGTACATAGTACAGCTGTATCTGACTTGTTCCTGGTAGCTCAGGACGGGGTACATAGTACAGCTGTGGGGTTATAGACCTGGGTGCTTTAGTACAAGCCAACTTTAGCGATAAGACTACCTTCTATGGTAGTTCTGTGGACTACGTCTATGTAAGGTATGGGAGTTATGGTCACCTCTGCGCTAAGATCGCTTGTACAACGACACCCTGATCTTTTTAATTTATTATACCAGGTAATAATGCAGATCAGCTGCCCCCTCTCCCTGGAATAATGTAATAAACAGTTATGTTGATCATATAGTATATAATATAGTCTATTGTACATGCATCAGTTGTGTCATTAACTGTACTTGGTGGTTATTCTTTAAACGGGGCATAAGTACCGTTCTGCTAGTTACCTGGTGTCTTCTGTCTCGCCAAATACATGCGCCCCTGTGGATAACGTAACGTCAGCCTATTTGTGAATTAGCGATTACACCCTGACACCATGCACACGAACGAGCTATATATTTGTATATTCCGCCTGTTAGACGCCTATTACTCTCTAAAACGAGTTTATTTTCTGATTTCAGAATCACAGTGGCCTACATTGACCATGGGACGAATGACCAGATGGTTTCAATCCGCCGTACAGGTATAATGCAATTCCCCTGTAGTGTCCACATAGTACAGCTGAACCCAGTGGTGTCGAACTAACGGCTATTTCCCTTTGAACATAATCCGTCTTTAATTTATACATTGTGCCGTTATGTTGATCTTCGAAGTATATACGTCAGTTCATTGAGCTTCGACACTGCCGCCTTTGACTGTAAGTTTTGTTATATTAGGATTCAATGATTTAGTCTGAGACACATTGTCAGAGACCTATTTTATGGTGTCTGTTTCAACAACAGGTGTTCAGGGTGTGTGTCGGGCGAAGATCAGCTCGGATTGATGTCCAGAAAGAGAAGGCAACGAAAAAGAAGAGACGTTATCGGCTTTGGGTGTTCAGAATAAAGAGGAAAGACAGAAACAGCTCACAGGCTGTTACTTGCCCATCAGCAGCAACAGAATCAGCTCGTGATGGTGAGATGATAATGACCACTCTAAAGGATAATATTACCCCAACATTTCAGAATGAACAATTTGATTAATTTGCAATATAAGTCTCTGACTGGATGAATGTTGATCAAAAATGCGGAAAGACTTGAGTGAGTTTGGTTTAACGCCGCCTTGAACAGTATTTCGGTCAAATCACAGTGTGTCGGTGTGATGTGGGAGGAAATCCCGGAGTGATGCAGATCTTAGACATCTAAAACTTAAGTGGAAACTACGAACACGGGTATGTCCTTCCCCTAAAAAAATACTAAAATACTAAAGGCAAATCGGGATTGGAATCAAGAATCATTTCTCTTGGCAACCACGGTGTTCTGAGTAGCTTTATGTGTGGGTTGTGCAAACGTGTACCCTGAGTTATAATTCTACATAATTTGGCTAATAGTGTAATTTTTTTCAAACCTCATAACCCACCTCTGACTGAAACATCACCGAGGAAGCTGACATATATATAACATTACTTCTTATTTAGTCACTGTTTGTAAGCATTTAAAATCAATATATGTACAGTTATATGTTACAAAACAAATGCACAGGTCGCACATCAATATTCAAAAGATGGCAGCACAAATGACATTTTTGTCCACATCTTTGATCGTTATGGTCGTGCATACTAAGCAGAAACGCCCCATGGCTAAAAAATCAGTATTTCCAATTTCCAGCGCATGAGACGGCAGTGGATACACCACCAAAGTCAGTCCTCAAACGTCTGGATGCGGACGTTGTAACTCCTGGATGTTCGCAAGCGAAAGAGGTGACATTTGGAGAGATGGTGCAGGTCAAGATTTTCGAAGTCAAGGCCGCCGCTATATTTCTCAGAGATGCCTCAAGTGAAGACCTGCATTACGAGAGGACCGACGTTGACGATGGTGTTGACTAGAATGTCCCCTTACGATCCGAGTTCTTCAGCGTACATCTTATGCTTTCTACTCAGGCACAGGAGAGTCGGCATCATCATCATCAGCAGCAGCAGCAGCAGGTCCAGGATGAGCCGGCAAAGAAGTCCTAATTCCTCGGAAGGGCAAACACCAGGGAGCACAGCCACCATTAGCACCATCAGCTCTAAGATGAATTAAGAAGAAAAGAAAAGAAAACAAAACAAATTTGATTCCCTTCTCGTGAGGACAAGTACCAGAAAGCACAGCTACCATCAGTACCAGATCATCACCGCCAACGCTCTAAAGTGGAATTAACAATTTCAAGAATCTGGACTGCTGTTATAAATTTGTTCCAATGCAATTATACTTCACAAAGAAAAAAGCAAATTTGTTTCCTTTCGATGCTGAGAACGTTAACCATGGACACGTAATACGATATAATTGACGTCCAGGGAAGGAACAATGCATGCCACCATCGCCATTCTTCTCGTTCAGGGAACTAGGAGCCTGGTCAACCATCTCTTACCATTGGCGTCCGTCAAATAGAAATGGAGAGACACGTGTAATTGCCCTGTTTGGAACTTTCAGGGCCATCACTTGCATACTTGTCTATTTTGACTTATCATATTTCGAGATGTGTTTAATAATGTAAGTTTAGGGAAGAAAAGTGTAATTATTACAAAGCGAAGATGTTCCTCTCAGGAACCACAAGGCTAAGAAGACTCTGGTTCTGAGAAGATTCAGGGCACCGTGGGGAGAATTTAGCTACTTAGCTTTTCTGTCATATTAATTGGTGAGCCAAATTAGCGTCCATAAAAGAAGCCATTATGATAATATAATTACATTAGAGTAATTGTCTTGTCTTGCGAATTAAGAAGCACTGTCGCAATGTAGTGGCTGGTTATTTGGATACTGTGAATTGTGTTTGTACTCACTTACACACAGAAAGACAAATCCCTCCCTTCCCTTCCCTCTCCCCCTCCCCTCCCCTCCCTCCTCCTTCCCTCCCCCCTCCCTCTCCCTTCCTCCCCTTCCTCTCCCCGCCCTTCCTCTCCTTTCCACCCCTCCCTCCCCTGTCCCTTCCCCTCCATCCCATCCCCCTTCCCCGCCCTCCCATCCCCATCCTCCCCTTCCCTCCCCTTCCCCACCATCCCCTCCCATCCTTCCCCACCCCTCTCCCTTCCCCCCACCCTCCCTCCCTCCCTTTCCCCTTCCCCACCATCCCCATCCTCCCATCCATCCCTCCCCATCCCCACCCCTCTCCCTTCCCCACCACTCCCATCTCCTCTCTTCCACACCTCTCCCTGCCCCTCCCTCCCCCTCTCCATGCCCTCCATTCCCTTCCTTCCCCCTTCCCCCCCTCCCTCTCCCTCCCCTACCTTCCCCACCCCTCTCTCCCATCCCATCCCATCCCATCCCATCCCCTTCCCTACGACAGCGAGACTGATGACCAATGAGAGCCATGCTATCAAATCACTTAATGTTAAAATATCTATTACCCAGTGATTCGAAATCTCTCACTAGTTGTTAAAGCGCACACGTCATTGCCCGATGTTCGCGAGTTCAGATTACTTCAGAAATCCAAACACTTCGTCTTTGAAAAACAGTTGTTTATTGTCACTTCGTGAACTTAAGGAATGTGTGGAGTTTTGAACAGGTGTTTCACTTACGTGTAGGCGGATCAATGTCAAAGTGAAAACTTCGCGTCATGGTACTGTTAACATTGCCTTTTTCACAAGAATGTTTTGCCCATCTGATTAATTATAAAGTTTTCAGCAACATTTCATTTGATAATGAACACGATGTTATAAAAAGTCGAATACACTTTGCGTGACTGTGCTCAGAAATTTTATTAATTCTTTGTTTTGCCCATCTGATTAATTATAAAGTTTTCAGCAACATTTCATTTGATAATGAACACGATGTTATAAAAAGTCGAATACGATTTGCGTGACTGTGCTCAGAAATTTTATTAATTCTTTTTGTATATAAGTTTTTATAGTGTTTACTATTAGTCCACCCAGCTTGAATTTTTAGGATAATAATCGGTGCGCCTAGAAGTATACTAGAGAGTTGAGATTGATAATACTGGCCGTTGAGATTGACGATCGATGTGGATAATGGATCCTTAATAATAAAGTATATACTGTATACTGGCCACGTGATGTGGATAATGGATCTTACACTCTTGCAAGAAAGAAACATTACATGCTATAAATGCGGCTTTTGTTTCTTCAACAATATTCCACTTATATGACAGCGTTCTGTAAAAAATCGTGTCTGAAAGGACAGACGATCCAGTGATCGACTTATGAACATTGATCTACGCAATTAGGATACGATGACATGCATGACCCAAGTCAGCGACCCCTGACCGCTGATTCCGTTAGACGTCGCTTCTTACGACAAGCATGGATTACTGAAGACCACAAACCCTGAATTTCAGACAATGTCTCATCGAAAACAGATCTCACGTTTCAAGAATTGATCGCAATTCAAACCACATTTATCTTCAACCCGACAGCCATAGAATGAAAGCCAGTTCAGAGCTTAACTATGTCGAATGCTCATGGCACTTTATGGCTGTCAGTTCTTACTAAGTTGGCATGTGGAATTAATCCGAACAAGGCATTTAGGGTAACATATAAAGTTTAGATTATTATCAACAGTAACGAAATTTGATACATCCCCCACTACGAGTGGATAATGAGTACACCTGAAAGAGATGTTCTTAGAGTTCTTGGAGTCCATTGACCCTTGAATCCTTGAATCCATTTTAGAAAGGCAATTAGAACGTCAAATTTTGCTTATGACCGCACTTGCTCTCCAATATACTAATGGGCGACACGATGTCGATCACTGTATACTTTCAGCATAATGGCTTGTATAGTACGTGGGACAGACCAACGTCAACGCGTTACAGACGGTAACGTGTAAGAAGTCTTTTTTCCCCATCATAAACAAACCAGAAATAAATAACAAACAAAATGCACTCCCATGCGGTAACGGCAGAAGACCCTTAATGTCTGCACCGTACACGTTTACAGTCAATTTGTATTCCATGCAGACCCGTGAAGATCCAGGTTAGAATTGATCTTCAGAAACCCATGCTTGTAAGAGGCGACTAACGGGATTTGGTTGTCAGGCTCCCTGACTTGGTTGACACATGTCATCGTATCCAAATTGTGTAGATCGATGGTCGTGCTGTTGATCACTGGATTGTCTGGTCCAGACTCGATTATTTACAGACCGCCGCCATTTAGCTGGAATAACGCTGAGTGCGGCGTTAAATAACAAACAATAATCAATCAACAGACGGCGGCCATCCCAGGTCACTTGCTCTGATGTCACTTTACGTTGTATGGTACTGTTAAATGATTGACCAAGGGACCCTCCACAAAACACCTTCTCCAACATCTGTAATTATAGCAAGACTAAAGCTGATTGTGCTAGACTGCAGGCGAGGATGAACTACTTATATAATCTATACAGGCGCTCTCTATATGGTTAATCCTCCTTGCATCTTGTTTGCCCATAAGGAGAAATCAATTGAATTTGCATTCTGTTCAAACGAAATGATTTTGCCAAGGACTTTACTCATTAGTTCTTTAGACATGTATTCGTACCGGGCAGTCTCATTGTAGAGTGCGTGTGTACATCCACACCTTGACACCTTCACGCCTTGACACCTTGACACCTTGTCACCTTAACAGCTTTGTGTTGCTATGGCATGGTATTTCGGACACGGCTGAGGGCACCAGAAATGGGCTTTACACATTGCACACATGTAGGGAATCGAACCCGGGTCTTCGGCGTGACGAGCAAACACTAGGCTACCCCACCGCCCCGGTACACGACTGAGCAATGGTATATTGTAAATGTCCTCAATTTGCTGACAGGTTGATATTTTTTCTCCGTTTGCGTTTGTCACGCAAAATACTGCAACATTTTACTGTAGAAGCCGACTTCTTCAAATGACATAACTAGACAATTTCCTATATTTGATTGCGAACGTGGAGGGATAAACTGACACGTTCAGCTACAACATTGTTAACTCCTGCAGCCACAAGTTCCCACAGAATCAAAACAAACTTGTTCTGGGCGCCGTTCATCAAACCAAATTCAGCGCTAAGGTTGGGACATTGATTGTAAATCGAGATGGCACTGCTCTGTGAAGGTAACCTTAATTCTAACCTAAAGTGTTAAATAGAAATTAGCTGAGGTTGTTTCAGGTGAGTTCAATAGACATGTCCCTGTTGCAGTGAGTGAGTGAGTGAATATGGTTTTACGCCGCTTTCAGCAATTTTCAGCCATATCACAGCGAGGGACACCAGAAGTTGGCTTCATACGTTGTAATCCATGAAGGCAATCAAACCAGTCGACGAGTGAACGGTTTCGCCACTTAACTGCCTCCATTAATCCGCCACCAGCTCCAGTCTAGTTGAACACTGCAGGACAGGAGACGTCATATTGCTCGCTTCGTTTTGATCTCTCAGTTCAGATGACAAGCACTTATCCGGAAATTCCGACCTTGGGGCTGACTGTCAATCATGCTGAGTTAATTCTCGGATTCCTCTACAGTTGCGATAGCTTACAGATGAATACAATCCACGTGATAAGCAAAGGCTCGCTGGTGGGATCGTGATTAAATACTTTATCCGACCGAGTTAATTTCCTGAGCAGAAGGGTGAACTTTCTCAGACTTGAGGTCAAGATCCGTAGGTCCGTCTAGTCTGGGCCCATGTGGTTTCCGGTTGTGAATACGCTTGGGTTTTAATCTGAATTGACTCACCAGGCAATGTGTGTCAAGCACACACTGAGGACATCAACTGACGATGCTAGATCTTCATAATCGTCATAGTCCAAAGAGGGGAACCGAACCCAGGTTTTCAACGTGTCGAGCGAACGCTTTAACAGCTAGGCTACCGTTTGATTATTTACTACCACCAATAAGACTTGCTCCCGAGGCGGGATCCACTAAGGCTCGGGCCCCGAACTTCAACGCTCACCTCGGGGAAATGGGCCTCACACATGGTACCGAAGAGGGGAATCGAACCCGGGCTTTCGGCATGCCGGGCGAGCGCTTTAACCACTAGCCTACCCTACCGCCCCATTAAGAAGTTAGGTTATCAGGTTTATTTAACAAAAACGACTATATTCTCAATCATATTGTGAGCAACCGTGCTTGGTGCTACTTTGTACCTTGCAACTCGATGTACTGTTAAATTAAGCGAGGGCACCCTCTCACGCACCGACGCGTATAAGCACTTCGGTGAGGCAGGATACGCTCCCTCTTTGCGAACCCCTGTAATCATTACTATGTGACTGTGATTCATAAACACATGATCATGTTATAGTCGGAATCGTTCAACGTATTCTGTAGAAATGTCTTACTGTCATTGGGGCGGTGGGGTAGCCTAGTGGTTAAAGCGTTAGCTCGTCATGCCGAAGAATCGGGTTCGATTCCCCACATGGGTACAATGTGTGAAGCCCATTTCTGGTGTCCCCCGCCGTGATATTGCTGGAATATTGCTAAAAGTGGCATAAAACCATACTCACTCACTTCTTACTGTCATGGAATTGTTACTTGTCGTTTCCATTCGAAAGGAACGCATGAAGATCCGGGTTAGAATTGGCCTTCGGTAACCCATGCTTATAGTAAGAGGTGACTAACGGGATCGGGTGGTCAGATTCACCGACATGGTTGACACACGTCATTGTATCCGAATTGCGTAGATGGATGATCATGCTGTTGATCACTGGATTGTCTGGACGAGACTCGATTATTTACATACCGCTGACATATAGCTGGAACATTGCTGAATGCGGCGTTAAACAACATCTAATCAATCAATCATTAAAACGGAGTCGATTTATCGGTATAGAAAACACCCCCAGGTAAACAATTGATTCGCTTGTAAAATATCACTGTCATCAAGTCTGTACTGTGTTAGGGCAAAGTGTTATTTGGTATTCCTCCCCGATAATGTGGTGGTACGGTGTCACCAAAACGTCTTCTCATAACTACCAGCAACGTGAAACATTTCATCATGTGTTTCATTCACTGACAACGTCCGTAAAATCTCAAGCTGGGCATACATTCGGTGGAGATATGGTTAACATTGAAATAACCACCCTCATCACTAAATGTACATCGAGTCTCACGCTGAACACGTACAAATGTTTTAAAACATAAATATCTTATAACTAAGGATGTAACAGCACGTAATCACTTAGCCTAAAGATTTCAACAGATTAGGCAAGTGCGTGGTTTCTGAAAACGACAAACATTCCTCAGGGAGAATATTCTTTCATTTTTGGAGAAATACAACTGTTTTATTCATGTTGGGCACGTTTGGCTAGCGTTGCGGTCGATACACAAGAGGAAATGGACAAATCCCTCAGCAATAGGTTTGGTTGT